ACAAAATAAGCAATGAAAAGGCATAGAATTAAAAAAAAAAAAAAAAAAAAAAAGTAGAAATACAGAGATTTCGGATGGAAGCTACCTAAGACATATTTCCTGTTTTAAATGGCCAAATGCACCACCTTAAAAGAAAAGAGTTCTTCCAAATACCAATGGTGGACACATAACATAGAAATGAATATCTGGAGTTGCAATTAAATCTTGCTCTTTTAGGCAACCATTAATCTTCTTATAGCCTTTACTGATAGATGAAGAAGGGACATTATTTTAAAGCCTTTGGAATCATACATTTATTTTTAATTCTACACAGACTCAATTGCTGGTTTTGGGATTATGTTTCCTTTCAGAGACATAACGTTTTACTCAGGCAATTACCACTAGGAAAAATGCACTACAGAGTGCTCCATAGCACCATATTGTATCTGCCTGCCACTGGGAAACCAGCAGCTTGTCTGCCACAGGACTCCTCTAATTCTGACTTTTCTTCTCCTCCAGTTAGGAAACACTTCTCAGGAAAGAATCTCCTGAAGTCATACTAAGCTGTGGAAACTTACTTATTTTTGCTGTGTGGCAATTCCTTATATAGTATCTGACACTTGTCTTCAAACTGAGCTGTCTTTTTATTCTGGTTTGCACAGGTGTTATAAAGCCATTAAAAAGAAAATTATATTAGCTGTCTCTTACTTGTGTATTGATAAAAAAATAAACTTCACAACAACCACTTATTACACAAAGTATATTATACAACTTGTAGGAAAAAGCTTATTCTCTACACTATTAACACTTGACTGTTACTGAAAGACTTAAAGCAATCAGCAGTAAAGCAAACCAATGGAATGTAAAAAAAAAAAAAAACCAACGCACAAACTTTCCTATTCGCAAACATTTATCCGAATTTATAAAAATTTTTAACTTTAAATACGTAATTTCAGAGGTTTATGTTGACCAGACAGTAACAAAGGGAGTTAATCAAATATGAATCTTTTCCAACTGTCTTGTCAAACCAGGTAATGATGTCCTGCCAGCCAAACTCAGAGGGAACATGTGAAACAAATACAAAAGTAAACAGGCCTTAAGCTGCCCAAGGGAAAGTCAGCAAGATGGCAATTTCAATCATTTGGAATAATACTAAAGCAGCCTTAGGCTTTTCTCAGAATGGAAACATGTCACTGTTACTGCAATATTTCAACAAATCAGACTGCAAAAGAAAGGAACACTTATGTAATCGCAGCCGTGGAACAGCACTTTACTCAATGGTGAGGTGGAAAATAATTAAGAGGAAATTCCCTTTTGTGAGGAATTGTAAATGTACTTAAATAACAAAGACAAACAACGTTTCCTTAGAAATTTCGAGTAGTGAAAAAATCAAAATTAGGCACAAATTCCTTTAGTTTTGATACAGGAGGCTTTGGAACAACAAAGATAAAGTTCTGTCAAACAAAACTATGAACATAATGTTGCTACCAAATGTATCAAATATTCAGAGCTGCAAACAAGGCAAAAAGCACTCCAAGAACAATTCTGCTGAAAAGTTTCATTAAGATGAAGGGGTTGTCATATCATTTAACTGAGAAATCAAAAAATATTTCAAATATTTGGGGAACTTACCTAATCAGTAAACTTTCAGTATGTGTCTAGTCATGTAGCCATCTTTTAGTCAATCATCAGAAAATCAAAGGCAAATTGGCATGACTCAACCCAAACTTTAATACCGCATGATTGTGTCGTGTAAGCTTGTTTTGTGCGAGGGCTGCTGTGGTTTTAGCAGAGAGATTAACGACCGGACCTAAGCTGGCCTCCAAACCTTGCCCTGCTGATGCCTCAAGCCCTTTGAAGTCTGACCATCATACCTGGCAAAACAACAGTGGGAACTAGGCTGGTGTCAGATCTAATCAAGTTTCCTGCCTCAGCATAGCTAACTATGGGGTACACTAATTGGCCCAATTGCGGATTATACCTTTTGCTACAGATTCAAGACAATAATTTAGTCAAATGATGGTTTTTATCTCCTTCTAATTAAGATTCCAAAGTGGGAAGAAATAGGATTAGACAGGCTAACTTCAAAATTGTGTCCTTTAAAGTGGTATGCACATAAGACAGATCTCTGATAATATTGCTTATAATAACATACTGCTAGTAACTAACGTGTGAAGATTTGGGAAAGCTTGATACAGCTACTGCACATTTTACCATAAACATGTAGGTTTTCCTGCAAAGGGTCTACCTCAAAATTTACAAATGGAAAATGAACACTCATAATACTCATTAAAAAACATTTTCATCCTGAATTTAAAAAAAAATCCCTTTAGAATACATTTCAGTCAATCTTATTCTGACGAAGAAGATACAAGAAAAACTGAAACAGTTAAATGATTCTGCAGACTATAAAGAGGCGAAGTCCCTCCCACAAAACTGCAATCTAACAAAATGGATTTGACATTTAAGGCTTTTTACTGATGAGGGCCAAACCATAAAGAGTTATTTAACTGGTGAGCAATCCAGAGATGAGAAAATCCACGTCCCATGTCCTTATTTTAAACTGTAAAAAACCAATGGTCTAGCGATGAAAACCCTTTTTGGAGAAATTCTGCCATAAATCATAGGTTGTGTATTTCTAACTTTTCATACGTAATTTGATTTTAAAGTGGCATTTGAAGTAGAGATCAATATTTTTACCCTAAATTGTGTCTATAACTAAGCAGAAGATTTTAAAAAACTGTAACGTACTCAAAAGATATTTTCGTTACACATTTAAGCTACATACTAAAGCACTCGTAAACTTGGCTGCACTTTGTATAGAGCACTCTGTTGCTTGTAACGCACTGTTGTGCTGTGTTATGTTTTTACCAGCAGAACCAAACCTGACTGCTGACTCATCACATTCTAACTGCACAAACCCATTTCAGAAGACTGTATTCACATCCCTTCTTAATTCAATTTTCCCTTGCTCCCATTTTCTTATTGACCTCATTGCTCTAGTCAGCCTAGCTGTAGTCTGCCTCCCCTAATAGTACGAGGAAGAAAAACATACGTATTATAGATTAGCAGGACAGTGATCTAACATGTTCAAAAAGTGCTTGTGTGTGTCAGTTCAGCTTATAGAGAGCATATCTTTAAGAAAATCTGAAGTTATTCAAAACGGACTGCAGCTGAGCAATGAAGGGAGAAATTATACAAGTGGGTCATCTACGCATGTCTAGGGCAACAGGTTGTTTCAAGAGTTCCGCTACACCCCTGCTTCCAATGCTTCTGCCCCATGGCTCAGTCAGTTCCTTTTACAGAGCCTCCTGCTAAGGTGTTTTGTTTTTTGTGGTTTTTTTTTCCCTTCCATATTACATTACAAATTACAATCCCAAATACGGCTGACAGAAAAAAATATATTATGAGACAAGATTCACAGTGAGGGAAAGAACCCCCAATTATTTTTATTCATCATTATAATAAACGAGAATTTACTATGCTGTGAAATGAGGGTGCATGCTTCTCTGCACTTCTGAAAACAGTAAAAACATTTGTATTTCAAAACCAACCACAGACTATTGAGGTTTTTGTTTCTAATGTACTGCTCAAAAGCAGTTGTTAAAATGGTTTAATACCTCACAATGCCTGGTTTCACCAACTGCGTTCTCTGGAAAGTGAGATACATTATAAAGGAATGTCTTTGGGAAAAAAGCCCTCCTTCACGTATTTGCCTTTAAGTGGCTTCTGAAGGGGATACCTCTAGTTGAGAAACTTCTAGCACTCATGCAGAGATGACCTGCATGAAGAACTGGCTGCCTGATTAACTATTAACTACTCTCAATAGGATTAGATAATTAAAGACATTGATGACCATTAATTAGGAGGAGGGCACCTTAATTTGTCACTTGATAGGGCCCTTTCAATGATTTATAGGTTAGGGCTACTTGCAATTGTGAAGGGGAGGAGGCAGTGAAGAGAGAGAACCCTTAAGTTACCTTATCAAGTGGCCAGCTAAAAAGGGCAGAGGGTCAAATAAGGGCCAAAGTGGTCACTTAAGGGTGAAGTCCCAAACACCAAAGCAGTGCCAAGCCACATTGACCATCATTTGGTGATGGAGTAAAAAATATGCTAATTTATTGGTGGCAATTCTCTCTTTTTATGGTTTCAAGCAGTTAAGACAAGTGGCCTGCTTAAGAGCTTTTCATTTGAAAAGAGATTAAACAAAATGGTTTGTCAGGGATGCTTGGCTGTTTTATGTCTTTGTTAAAAAAAACTTGCCCAGACTGTACCGATGACTATCACATCACCCCGAAAGCCATCTTCCATCTCTAAGCATTACTTGGTTAATAAATACATCAGCTCTAATTGCTTAATAGTGCTATGTTCATTTGCTCTTTAGCAGGATTAAAATGAAATACATCTTTTGTATTACTGCCTTCTATCAGGACTGTCTGCATAAAGGTCACAGAAAAAAGTTTAAATTTAGTAGGAAATTTACTTAAGGACATTAGTGTAAATGATACTGTGTTTAAAATGACATAAAAGAGCGAAAGGTGATTTCAGTAATGCAAAGAAAATGGTTTCTGAATACTGATAAGGACACTTATCCCTCATACCACACACAATTTTAGGCAGCATTATACATTAAAATCCCTCTACTGGGGTAATAACATGTAGCTACTTTCCCACCCACTAACACAAGTAAGAGCAAGTCATTAACATTTAATTAAACATGCTCCTGACATCCTTAGAAACATGTCATGCTTTGTTATTGAAGGTTGTGGCCTACTTTCTATGTACATTTTAAACCAAAATAAACTATTTATAACGGACTGATTTAGTGCAGCAAATGAGACATTTTTAATTAGAAGGCATATTACAATATTTGATAAAACCGTTCTGAAAAGCAAAACCAGAATGAAATGAATTTACAACATCTGATGCATATTTTATGTATTTCACAAAACGAAACATAAGAGATGGGATTAGCTCCACCTTTTGGGTTCTAAATAGTGAAACAAAACTGTTTCTCTTACCTCAATGGTGAACAGCTTCCTTTTTAATCTAAAAGCAAGGTCCTTCGTGTCTGACACATCACAGATCAAACTATTAAGCCGAGGAATCTGATGTACATGAACCAAACCTTGTGGACAGAAAGAGTAAAGGAGGGAAAAAAATTAAGAAAACGCTGTCATCCAGATGCATAAATTAGAGCCTTACAGCAGAATTCTGTATATTTACACACACTCATCCTCCCCTTTTTAAACTGGAGCTTACTACCAGGAGCAATGAAGCAAACGGTGCGATTATACTCAAGTAATCAAGCAGAATAAGATAAACAGAAATCCTTGTGCGAGGAAAACTAATTGCACTTTGGTACAGAAGTACAGATGTAAAGAGGGATCTTAATACTTGTCAAAACTACAGCCGGTTTGTGTGTGATTTTCTCTTGTATTTACAGTAAGCAAATATGGCTATCACCTTGCATGCTGCCCACGGCACCACTGAGTGATCTTTATTTTATTAAATGCACCAGTAAGCAGCCAGCAAAACAAGGCTTATGGGTTACTGATAACCACTGAAGCTCTAATGAGAAGTACTTCGTTTTGCGCCCTGAAAATGGCTTTAAAAAAGTTTCTGGAAAATACCAATTTAGATCATGCCTTTCGATAAATTTTAACCCCTATGCCATCCTAGGAGGAACACGTTTTCTTCATGCAGGAGGCTTACATAGCTGCTCAGATGTTTTTAACAGTGCTAGGTGCACTGCAAGCTCTGCATTCTGTCAGCTGCAACTCAAGCTGATTTTTTCTGACAAGGACGCTGGATGGTTTTTGTGCAGCCTAATATAGTTTCTGAACAACCTAAGGGTGATTTTCTACATCTGAAAACCAGGAAAATTCTACAGGGCTTCTCAATTACTGGCCTATATTTGCTATTTATAAAGGCAGCGTCTAAATGGAAATACTGAACGTTTAGAAAAGATACCTTACTTGAAAACGGCAGCTGTGAGAAAACCCCCAAACACTAAAACCCTAATTTAAAATAAGGCAAGTATTTTTTTCAGGGTTTTATTTATTTTTTTAAATGAAAGAATGAGGAAAGAAAGTTTCCTAAAATTGAAATACTTTAAAAAGCATATTTTTTATGGGTACTAATTTCAAAAAAATCTCAATAATATTAGAAAAATATTTTTACACTTTGAAACCTTCTATCCCTGCCTCCAGTACGGTGACATATAAGAATTAATTGTTTGGCTTTTGAGTTCAAAATATGATTATTATATATAGGAACAGCAGGTATAACACAGGGCTGGTTCTATACAGTATTCTAAAAATTATATTTAAGGATCATCAATATAATTATTTTGTTATTTTACTGACTTTTCAACCATTTCAATTTGCAGGCAGCTTAACAAAATTATTAACGCAGCATTCATTAAATAATGCAATAATTTAATCAAATTTCTCCTGAGCAATGTAAAAATCCTCCATCATCTGCAGTAAATAAATAATCTTAAAATATATTATTAAGCAAAAAGAATCCACAAAGTTAAAACCACTAAAAATACCTATTTTTTAGAACTTAGAATAAATTAAGGTTGCCTAAACCTCAAAAGCTATGTATATTGGCATATAATTTTTATTAGGTAGTACCAAAAACGATTTAGCATATATTTTTACAGGAAACCAGGACATAACTGCTAAAACACACATTGTCTTAAAGGATCTCTTCAGTACTGAGAAAAGGAATATCAAATTGACAGAATTATGTTAGCATAAACAAATGCCACATCATGATTATACAGTTGGAAAAATAATTAGGCAAATTATTCTAGCCTTTGTTCACGGTTTCTTTTTCATTCACCTTTTTTCAGATAATGAAATGTGCACTACTTTCACAGTCAAAAAGATTTTTCTCTGATTTATTAATTACAGCCAGCATACACACAGTGGTGTCTCAACACCATCTTTGCTTCTTTTGCTATATATTCTGCTATGGAAAACACTACCACATTCTCACATGTTTACAGCAGTTTTTGGATAAGCAGTTTACTTTCAACCTTTCAAGGTTTCCATGGAACTACAGTAGTATTGCAATAATAATAGCTGTAATTTATGCACACTCAGAACAGCGCTCCGGATTAGCTAAAACTGTTTGTTATTCACTGCTTTGGCTTCGCATAACTTCGAATCTAATCTTATAAAATTTAAATAGTTCTGCTGCAACAGCTAACAAAATCTTTGGAAAACAAAATGCACGATTAAACACCATTACACATTTTGAAGATAAACTACTTGA